TAGTTGTGTACCGAAGTTGGGAATTTTTTATGAAATTTTACCAAATTGATAAATGGACCTTACCGGTTTGCATATGAAAATTTTTGTTCGATATACCCCAAGCAAAAATCCTAGCTCCGCCACTGGGTCACATTACAACATGTGATATACTTTTGAAACATTCAGATAAAACACTTGCAACATACGTACGGAACAGTTGAAACACTTGCAATATGCATCTAAAACATTTGCAAAACACTTGAAAACTCTTAAAAAACCATTGCAAACATATGTAACATCCTCCAGATAAAACACTTGCAACATACGTGTAAACACATATGTAACATCCAGATGAAAACACTAACAACGAACGTCTGAAAAAACAGATAAAACATTTGGAACAAACACTTAAAACATACGTGTATAGCCATTGTAACATATGCAACATCACGATCTACTTTTGCAACATCAAGATAAAACACTTGCAACATCTAGATGAAACATCCAAAACACTTGAAACACAAACTTGCAACATGCGCTGTTGAAAGATCCCTGTGTGGTTTTGGTAATTGAGTGACAGCCTAGGTGGACTAATTGTGTTTATGTGAGATACACAGGTGATTAGTCCATAGGTACATGTGTGTGAGCAACATATACCATGAATGTGGAAATGGCTCGGATTGCAAAGCTCACACATGTGATGATGAAGGAACTCATTGCACATGAGACATGACATTGAGTCATGTGATCAAGGTGGAGAAGATCAAGACAAGACTTGGCTTGATGGACCGGTTGCAAGCGTGAAGGGCAAGTTGAAGGCTTTGGAGCGATGGACCGCGTGGTGGTGAAGCTTGAGCAAGACTTGGCGTCGATGGACAAAGGCAACAGTGAAAAGCAAGTAAAGTCAAGATCGATGAACCAATATGATCACGTGATGATATGAAATGGATCATATCATTGTTGATCGTGTTGGTGCATGTGTTGCATCGACATTGGAGGAGATGGAATGGAATGCGCAAGGCAAAGGTATAACTTAGGAAATTTCATTTCACCGGTCATAGGTGTGTAGAGAAGTTGATGATCAGTTTTAGGATAGATGGCCGTACTATCAAGAGGGGCAAACTTGTTTGCATATCGGTCATCTAGTGCCACTTGAGTGATCTAACTTTGCATCGTCGCTAGGATCGAGTGGCGTGGCAAGTTGAGTGGCAAATCCTTTGGAAAATGTTTATGAAAAGCTAACACACATCACATGATGATGTACGCTTGGTGATAAATCCAACAAGTGGTTCCATACTAGAAAATTCTTTCAAGTGGTATCACATCTACACGTGGTATCAATCATGCAAGACGATGGTTACACAAGTGATCCTCAACTTTAAGTGATCATCAAATGAAGAATGCATCCCTCACCTATAAGAGTTCAAGTTTAGCAAATGGATGACCCATGATATGACATAGGGGGAGGTGTCCCACAAATTGGTATCAAGATCAAAGATCCTATGTGTGGTATCACAAGAAGCCCTACATTTCAAGTGGTATCTACAAGGGCTACAAGTAGTGTCATTCCAACAATCAAGTAATGTACATAAAAAATACAAGACTCAAGCCTCAACCATCTACCCCAAATACAAACCTTTGTATCAATAAGTAGCACACCTTTTATGGAAATTGATGACAAAGGGGGAGAGATTGTAAAAAGATATGAAAACTTTGCTTTGGGAGAGATTGTGAAAGCTTTGGGGGAGAGATTGAGAAGATATGAAAGCTTTGGGAGAAATTGAGACAAAGAAGTAGAGGTTGGAAATGGACATGGACAAAGGGGGAGAGCAACATTGAAGAAAAGAGATGGATCAAAATTCTTGGACAAGAGAAGCACACAAGTAGGGGGAGCAAGCTCATGAACTTTGATTGGTTGCATTTGATATATGCATAGTCATGTGCTTGTTTGCATTGCATAAATTTTTTAAATTCAATATACATGCTTGTATGGTGTATGCTAGTTGTAGAATTTGATTAATGAAATAAAAACTAGCATGCATAGGAAGATAGCTAGACACTTGATATGCTTTTCAAGTAATGCTAGTACCTTGCTTTTAATGTTGATCTCATGAGGTATCTAGTGCTTTGATTTCCAAGTGATATCTAGCTAACCATAGTGCTAAGGATGAACTTAAATGTGCAACTCCGATTGGTATCACACTTCAAAGGTTTACTCTATATATCTTAGCATCATTTGGTAGTAATTACTCTCCCACAATTCCAATCTATGCATATATGCGAACTTCAAGCCAAACACTTTAGCACATATGTAGGGGGGAGCTAATACTACCATTTCGGGTTTGTGGTACTTGTCCAAAATCATTTACACATGGTAAAATTGCTTGGGCAAGCAACATGAATCCAAAAGAGCTTAATTTTCATATCTTTTTAGAGTTGTCATCAATTACCAAAAAGGGGGAGATTGAAAGGTCCCTGTGTGGTTTTGGTAATTGAGTGACTACCTAGGTGTACTAATTATGTTTATGTGAGATACATAGGTGATTAGTCCACAGGTACATGTGTGTGAGCAACATATGCCATGAAGGTGGAAATGGCTCAGAGATGTTGCAAAGCTCACACATGCAATAATGAAGGAGCTCATTGCACATGAGACATGACATTGAGTCATGTGATCAAGGTGGAGAAGATCAAGACAAGACTTGGCTTGATGGACCGGTTGCAAGCGTGAAGGGCAAGTTGAAGGCTTTGGAGCGATGGACCGCGTGGCGGTGAAGCTTGAGCAAGACTTGGCGCCGATGGACGAAGGCAACGGTGAAAAGCAAGTAAAGTCAAGATCGATGAACCAATATGATCACGTGATGATATGAAATAGATCATATCATTGTTGACCGTGTTGGTGCATGTGTTGCATCGACATTGGAGATGGAATGGAATGCGCAAGGCAAAGGTATAACCTAGGGCATTTCATTTCACCGGTCATAGGTGTGTATAGAAGTTGATGACCGGTTTTAGGATAGATGGCCGTACTATCAAGAGGGGAAAACTTGTTTGCATATCGGTCATCTAGTGCCACCTGAGTGATCTAACTTTGCATCGTCGATAGGATCGAGTGGCGTGGCAAGTTGAGTGGCAAATCCTTTGGAAAATGTTTATGAAAAGCTAACACACATACACATGGTGGTGTACACTTGGTGGTGTTGGCACATTTACAAAGTAGAAGAAATTGGTGAAGAAGAGGAGTTGAATGCGTGGTCACGGGGTGACCGGATGTGTCTGATATGTTGACCGAACGGGTCCGGTGTCTTCCCTATGTGACCGGACGCGTCTGATATCTAAACCGGACACGTCCAGTAATCTGGCTAGGAGCGGGCAGAGTTGCCGAGGTGACCGGACTCTGGCTCGTAGCAGTGACCGGACACTGAGCAATCACTATGTAGTGTCCCGTCATAGTGACATGGAGCGTTGGTGTTGGTCTAGAGTGGACCGGACGCAGGGGCGCGTCCGGTCGGCCACACCGAACGTGTCCGGTCAGAGTTGAGCAGCTATGGGAGCTCTCTGGACTCGACCGGACGCTGCCCGTCCTGCGTCCGGTCAGTCACACCAGACGTGTCCGGTCGTGGTTGAGCAGCTCTGGGAGCTCTCTGGACTCGACTAGACACTGGCCCTCCTACGTCCGGTCGATACACCGGACGTGTCCGATCCAACATGTCAGAAAGAGCCGTTGGCGGCAACGGCTAGTTTGAACGGGACATGTGGCAGTCAGGCAGCGACCGAACGCGTCCGGTGCACACGACCTGCGCGTCCTGTCATCCTGAAAACGCCCAGTGAAGGGGTAACAGCTATTTTAGCCTGTGGGGCTATAAATAGAAGTGGTGGTCGGCCTTTGGCCGGGAGCTGAGCACACTAGAGCCTTGGTGGCTTATGTGGTAGTGCTTGGGAGCCCTCTAACTCACTCTAGCTTGATAATGTTCATCCGATTGAGTGAGTGTGCGATTCTAGTGCGATTGCATCGTGAGGTTGCATCGAATGACACTAGGTGGTCATCTTGCAAGCCGGTGGTGCTTGTTACTTTTGGAGGTTGCCACCTCCTAGACGGTTTGGTGGTGGTCTTCGTCGAAGACCGCAAGAAGCTTGTGCAGTGCTCCGGAGAAGAGCTTTGTGAGGGGCATTGTGCTCGCCCCGTGGGAGCCGTGAAGAGCAACTCTAGTAGAGCGTGTCATTGAGCTACCCTCACTTTCGGGGTAGGTTCTTGAGGTGCCCGATGTGCTGGCTTGGCGGGTGATGCCAATTAGCCGCTGAACCACCAAGTGAGCGGTCGACACAACGGGGGACTAGCGTGTTGGCAAGCACGTGAACCTCGGGAGAAAAATCACCGTGTCAACTTTGTTCTTCCCATTGGTTTGCATCCTCGTTACACAAGCTTATAATTACTTTCATATACATTGTGCTTGTGTAGTTGCTTTTATAATTAGTTAGCTTGTGTAGCTTGCTAGTTACCTTCTAACTTGTGTAGCATAGAAGTAGCTCCCTTGCGTAGCTAATTTGGTTTGTATAATCTTGTTAGTCACATTGCTTAGTTTGTGTAGCTAAATGATTTGCGCTCTCTAATTTGGCATTGGTTACCTTGTTATTGAGCATTGCTAGTGAGCTTAATTGGCTTTGTGCTTTTGCTTACTAGCATGCGTAGGAGCTCCCTCGTTGCTTGAAATACTAGTGGCATAAGTTTGTGTGACCTTGCTCCTAGAATTGTATAGGTGAGCTCTAGCTAGCCCGATACCTTTGTTGCATAATTAGGATCTTTATAAGGTGTTTGTGAACTTCAATAGAGGGGTGTAGTCTTGGCTAGACCAATTGTTTTAATTCCATAATTGTTTCGGTTAGCCGGTGCGATTAAATTTAGAAACGACTATTCTCCCCCCTCTAGTCGCCATCTCGACCTTACAGCTGTGCAATGTCATATTGCTGCTTGGATGAGGTACCCGAGCAGCGTGGGTACGCCTGTGAAGGAGAGGGTCGCGATGGCCAGGAGCTTGCACACGCCGAGGTCGAGGTCCCCGCCAGGGAGGTCCGCGTTGATGAGCGCCCGGAGGAAGTCGTCGTTGTCGTCCCCTGCGTCGCTAAAGACGTCCAAGTCGTCGACCACGCCGGTGTCGACGAGGTTCTGTAGGAGGAGTGGGTGCGGCGTGGTGGAGTGGGGCGGGCGTCGACGAGGTTCTACATGAGGAGTGGGCACGGCGTGACGGCAGAAAGTGGGGCGGGCATCCGATGCAGTGATGCTGCGACGAGCGTAAGCGAATGGGGATTTTTGTCGATGGGGATTCTGTCGTGGGGTAGAGATGGGGGAGAGAGCGTAATGGGAAGCAGACCGATTGACTATTGGGCCTGGTTGCTGCACATGCCCAGGAACAGGGGAGTCTGGATGCACATGCTCGGATGGACGCTATAGTCGTAGCATTACCGCACAAGATGTATGAAAATTTTTAGGTAAATCTTTTCGAATATTACGGGCTCAATGGAATAGCGTGTGAATTCTGTATCAACCATATCAATCTAGACCCGTCCGTCAGCCATATCAATCTAGACCTATTGATTGCATATAATGGGCATGTTCGCTTGTTGGTTTCAGCCAGCCCAAACCAGCCAGCCAACAGTGTTTTCCTCTCAAAAAAACCAGCACCAACCAGTCCAAACCAGCACCAGCACCAACCAGCGAACAGGCCCAATGGATGACTTCCCGACGTTACATCTGTTTTCTAAATAACATCAAGGAATATAACATGAGATGGTAGAAATTTACTAGGCAACATGTATTTATCAATTTTACATGAGGTGGGTGAGAATTACTAGGTGACATGTATTTACATGAGGTGGGCAGTATAAAAAGATAGATAGATATAGTATAGCTAGATATAGATATAAGATATATAGATTTATTTACCGCACCATGAACACGACGGTTTTTAACCCCATTTCCAAAATCCAAAAGAACCGGTAACGCCAGTTAAATACGACTGCCACGCAGGCAACCCACCCGCCCCAGCCGGTATCCCACCCGTTGGCGTTCAAATATTGCCCAAGCGGCAGGCGAGTCAGCGGTACGGACGGCCCCGATGCGTCGGCTCCTCCCGGTGACCATCTCCCGCCGTCCATCCTGACTCCCCATCACAACACTTCAAACAAGCAAAGCGGAGGGAAGCAAGCGGCACGAGGGCTGCCCTGGAAGCATCCATTCCACTCCATCCTCAATCGCCTCCGCCTCCCCCAAATTTGAAACCTCCGAGGCGGACGCGAGGCGAAGAAGTCATCGCGTCTCTGGGCGACCTTGCCGCCGCCTCCCACTCCGCTGCCTCTCGCCGCGCGCCGCGGGGGTTGCACGCTCTTGGGCGCGCGCTCGGGCGCGGGGTTGGATGCGGCTCCGACTTCGGCCGACGGAGTTGCTCGCTGGCCACGCCGAGACGGTGGGTGAGGTGAGGTGAGATCCCATCCCGCGGCGTTTCCATTTATTTCTCCGTTGGCAGCAGTGGCGGATCCAGGATTGGGTCCAAAGGGGGCTAACCTCGAGGTGGCAGCGCCGGAGGCCGGAGGTGAGAGCGGAGGCGGGACGGCCGGCCGCGGACGCCGGACGCCGAACTCGGAGGCCGGAGTGGCGCGAGCTCGGGTGGGCGCGCGGAGGGGAGGAGGGACGCCGGAGGCAGGGGCGCGGAGGGGCGGACGGCGGGACTAGAGCGGGAGTGGCTGAGGCACCGAGCGCGACGGGAATCAGGCGCCGCAACGCGGACGCCGGACGGGGATGGGAGTACGGGAGGGGCGCTGCTCCTGGACGGTTTCTGGATGTAGGGGTTCTGGCAATCTGGCCTGTGGAAGGTTCTTGGTCTGGCCTGTGATGGGGCTGTTGGGCTGGACGGCTGCAGCCCCCCCTGGATCGGCCCCTGGTTGGCAGGACGAAGGATGATCTGGGGTTGGTTCCTCTTGCTCGGAAGAGGGAGGGAGGGGGATCGTGAATTCGTCGGATGGCTTGCTCATCGGCGCTGCCTCTGAGCGTTGGGCGAGTCGACGGGATCGTGACGATAACCTTAGTTTAACAGAGGGATCTCGAGGTAGCATATCACAGGGGAGAGGGGAGGCGAGGAGTGGGTGGGTGAGTGGGTAGCATGTTGTAGAAATGCAGTATTAGGTTCATGATGCCTGGCTTTGGATTTTCTTGTCAACCTAGGGGATTATTTGGCTTCTGTTGTTATATGTGATAATCCACAATATGATGGTAAAATTATTTCGTGTGCAAATGCAACGTTCTTGTAGTAATCATGCCGAATGACAAAGCAAAAGCTCCAAAGAAGGGTGGAGAGGATCCTGGAATCCCGCCAGCTCCTTGTGAAGGGGAAATTAGCCATGAGCCACAGAGACAACGGTCGCTCAACGGGTAAAGGCCTCATAGTTTTTTTTTTCTTTATAAATAAGCATTCGCAGTATGTAGTACTGATTTATTTCTTATGGATATCTGCCCTTTACCTTCACTCAGGAGGACAACTGGCCCGACCCGGCGTTCGACCAAAGGAAATTGGACACCCGAAGAGGTATGCCAAACAAACCTTAATGCTGCGTGTGCAAATTCTTTTTGCTTGGCTTATTTACTGAATGTCTAATATGGTGCGTGTTTGCTATTTAAATGTAGGATGCTATATTGTCCCGCGCGGTTCAGACGTACCAAGGGAAAAACTGGAAAAAGATAGGTACTATTTATGGATCGATGCTATGTAGAAGATGAAGCAGTATATTTGCTCTACTCACTTTCATATCAACTCTGTCATGCCTTGTGTTTCATCATTTCTGCTTCTATTGAGCTTCTGTTCCAGTTTTGGAATTCTGTATGTGCAAACAGGAATGACTATATAAATCTATGCTCGGTACTATCTTTAGCTTGCAACGAGGCAACATCTACCAAGCTGCATATTCTTCAAATCTCACTTCTATATGTTCTTGCAAAAAAGAGAGCATTTCTTCGTTGCATTAACTGATGCCTTCGTTTTCCACTTCTGTCAATAAGAAACTCTCTCTGTCTCTTGCCTTAAATCCAAGCCTTGAAAAAATGCCTTCTACTTTTTCAGCGGAATGTTTTCCAGACAGAACCGATGTACAATGTTTGCACAGGTGGCAAAAGGTTCTAAATCCTGAATTGGTTAAAGGGCCATGGTCTAAAGAAGTAAGCATCCTATTGGATTTTCTATTTTGTTTTTATTTCTTATTAACATTGACGAAGAATTGGCCTACCCCAACTTGCTTGGGATAAAATGGCTTCGTCTTTGTTGATTAGGCATCTTATGATCACTTATTCAACACAAGATATTAATATCAACCTGTTCTCTTTCTGTTTATAGGAAGACGAAATCATAGTTCAGATGGTAAACAAATATGGGCCAAAGAAATGGTCGGCCATTGCTCAAGCTTTGCCTGGACGCATAGGAAAGCAATGCCGGGAACGGTATGCCGCAGCAAGTTTCTTGTTTACTTCAAGTTTCATCAAGCTTGCATCTAAGAAAAGTTCTTTTTCCCCTTTGCAACCGTAGTCTATACTTCATGTTCAATAAAGAAATGGCAAATGTTAGCTCACAGTGTTGCTTTGACCTCTGATGCTTTTTCACAGGATTATTGGCATTAGCTGTTTTGCAAGCCAATAACAGCAGTGCCACAGTAGAAGCATTACTAAATATTAACCTTTTAAACTGTGTAAAAATGCAATCTTATTTAACCATCTCATGTCTTGTTAACACACTGAGCTCTAGGCATCATAAAGTATGCCTTTGTAAATTCACTCAATTATGGGCACAATAAATATGTATCTACATACCTCAGTTGATGCTGATAACTGTAGTTGCTGTTGCTCTAACTATGGACTAGCTTATCTGATGCAGGTGGCACAATCATCTTAACCCAGCCATAAACAAGGAGGCATGGACACAAGAAGAGGAGATTACTCTTATTCATGCTCATCGGATCTATGGAAATAAATGGGCTGAACTGACGAAATTTTTACCTGGAAGGTAACTATATGTTTTCCTTAATATCCACCGGTAAAGCTTTACATATGATTGTAAAACTATACCTAGTTTTTCCAGGAACAATTTTACCTCTGATAAATGTCATATTGTGCAGTGTCAATTTGGAAACCAATATGTGTTAGTTAAAACTGGAAATCAACATGTATTCTTCTGTATCAAGTAATAATGGTGAACTTTTGCAGTGAGCAAAGAGGACACACTATTATCTGCTTATGCTTTACCGCCAATTGATAACACAAAGGTCTTCTCAGTTTACAATCAAATCTAGTTGAGCTACATGTTACTATTGCATAAATCACTCTTTTTTTAAAGGAAAAATCACTCTTATTGTTAGCCAATGGACTACTTTAGATTACCAAAATCATTGAATTTGTAATTTCTATTTCCCCTACAGGACGGATAATGCAATTAAAAATCACTGGAACAGTTCAGTAAAGAAAAAGGTTGATTCGTACATATCTTCTGGCTTACTTTCAGAAGTCCCATGCCTCCCTCTGATTGAATATCCTGCACAATGCGACTCTTTATCGGCTATGGACCAACAAAACAATGGAGATAGTGGTTGCAGTGCTCAGAACACTAGCATGGCCTTGAGCTCTGATTTACAAGTAAATTTGGATGCCAACAAGAGAGAAGCAAAAGACTCTCACTCGTCCTTGTGTCAAGGGGCATGTTATCCTTCCACAAAGGCTGTAGGATCTGTTTTGCCTGATGAGAACCACCATGTTCCTTCATCTTTTTCTCAAAGAATGGACCTGCAGATGGATATGGATGAAGGATCAGGAAATTCTATGTTTGCAGACGATCAAACTCTTTGTAGCACATCAAATCAAGAAAAGTCTATGGTGCCATTTGTTGTTGCACAAGAAATGCCTGTCTCTGTGCTATCAAGTGTTTCTAGTGCTGAGCAGAAACTGCACTTAATCTCTGATGCTGAAAGTTTGAAATCCGAACTTTGGAAAGATGTTTCTTTGCAAACTCTTATTTCAGGAGATACAATTGACCCTGATGCTTCTTCAAGATTAAATCACCCAGATGCTTCTAAAATGGACACCAATTTTTTGACACAGGCCTACACATTATACACATCAAATCCATCCAGTGTGATGGAAACTGTGTATGAACCAATGCCGTTGGAGACAATCTCTCCCTCTTTTAAATGTTCAGATGGTTTGTCTGTTGCACCCGAAAATAGATCTGAGCCAAGAGAAATGCCAGACTGTGAAGCAGAGATGGTCACATGTTCAAACAATTCTTTTGGTGATGGCGATCAATCTGCTAAACCTGGCAGCAGTGATGACAGGCCAGAGGCTTTCACAATGACTGAGAGCATTACAAACTGTGGGGGTCAACAGTCGACAGATGCTGAAGAACCTGTGGCCACTACAGCAAAAGAACAGTTATCGAAAGATATTGAGACTATGCCAGATGAAAAGAAGGGTGAGGGAGCTCTATTCTATGAACCTCCTCGATTCCCTGGTTTGGATGTCCCATTTATCAGTTGCGATCTTGTAACTTCTGCTGATCTGCAAGAATTTAGTCCCCTTGGGATTAGGCAGTGGATGCGGTCGACCATGAATGTCCCCACTCCTTTAAGATTATGGGGCTCTCCAACACATGATGAAAGCCCAGATTTGCTAAAGAGTGCTGCTGAAAGCTTCCCATGCACACCATCAATAATGAAGAAAAGACAGAGAGGTCTATTGTCCCCTACTCCAGATAAAAGAATTGAGAAGAAATCTGGGATTGCAAAGGGGGTGACAGATATCTCCTATATGATCACGGCCACATGTTCCATGAATGCAACCAATGATGGAGACATTGTTACTGAATCAGTTGTGTGTGCTGAGCAACCTTCTTTTAAACATCTAGACAAGAAACTTGAGTTCTCTAATATTAACAAGGAAAACTCAGATGGAGCATCTGAACAGGCCAAAGATCCACAAAATGCAGGGAACAAACGACTTGTGGAGGAGCAACGTTCCTCACCAAATGTTGCAAATCCTAACACTGATCTGCAAGACAATATAGTAAGTACATTTAAAGACATTATTTGGTGATACTTAGCCAGTTGGTAGTAACCATTTTTCCTATGAAAGAAAATATTGTAGCCATATTTTCTGAGTCTTACATAGATTGGTAGTAGCCATATTTTCTGAGCCGTACATAGATTGGGGCCTCCAGAAATGCATCTTGATGACATGCCAACTGGCTATGTACTTTTTCCAGTTGATTTCTTCTTACCGGTATTTTTTTAATGCAGCAACCTGTACGGATTCTTGTTGAGCACAGCAGCAATAACCTTGTTGCCGCTGATCATGGTGCAAAGCCATCCTGTAAAGAAGTAATTTGTTCAAAATCAAAGCCCACGGAACTACTTGTTGAAAAATCATCACCATGTATCAACGCGGATTACGAATATGTGAACTTGTAAGATACTGGTCTCAATAGTGTTCCTTTGTTTGAATTATTTGTTCCTTTAGTTAGTTAATCAGTTCAGGCTTCAGTGTATATGAAACTAAGCTGTGGCAGGTTCTTTTTGTCAATATTTCTTCTGAATTGCTGCTTTTGCCAGATTGGCTGATACCCCAGGTGTCAAAAGAGGACTGGAATCCCCATCTGCATGGAAGTCTCCTTGGTATATCGATATGCACATGCACTTTCAGGTAAATTCATTCCTTTTCCTTCATATTCTTTTTTTTATTTTCTTGCAGCCATTGTCTCATAAATAGATAAACCTTTTGCAGTCAGCTTATAATTTGGGGGAACATGCTATTAACTCTAGAGTTTGATTGGATATGGGAATTCGATCCATATCTCTAGGTTTAGTTCAAACTTTAAGTAAATCCCAAAAGTTCCTATGTATCTTAGTTTTGAACTGTGCAAGAGAAGCATCTTTTGTGATTAGCGACTAGCGACTGCTGTTTTTTATGTTTGTTTTGGTTAACATCTTTATTTGTGTCCATATGCTCCTTCCAGGGTTTTGTCAGCCCAGCAGACAGAACTTATGACGCGTTAGGATTAGTGAAGCATTTAAGTAAGCACAGTGCTGCTGCTGCAGTGGAGGCCTGTGAGGTGCTAGCAAGTGGCGACAGGACTTCTGATAAGGAAAACAAGGATAATACGGATGGCAAGGAGCCAGTGACAAGAAAATCACAGACTAAAATCATGGTGCGTAGCATCAACTGGTTATAGTTTAGTAATTTGACTAGCATGAAACAATCTCTCTTGGAAACCATAGTTTACTGTTTATGTGTCTGAATTATCACAAATGTGGATATAGCAATTTCAGGACATAGTGTGGGAGCTGATTGCAACTCAGCATGGTATTGTTTTGTCTTTAAAGATCAAGCATTCTAATTCCAGCTAATATTGCAGGCCGAGGCACGAGTCCTGGATTTCGACGAATCTTCCACACCTGCAAGAACAACAGATAAGAAATTTGGCAGCTGTCTCGGGAGATCTGTTAGCTCACCCATTCTTCCCTCCCCCAACCTGAGAAGTTTCCGATAGGTAGAATTTTGAGAGATACACCAGATATGGTATAATTATACATTAGCCGTATGTACATGTATATGTTCCTAGAGATCATTGTTCTTTCGTTACTCTGTACTGTTTGCCATTATGTCAGCGTACAGTCTCAGCCCAGAAACTAGCTTCCAAAAGGCAGCAGTATCATTGAACTGTTGAAACTTCCCCTATCATTCAATTAAAATTATTATTGATTGCTTACTCTGGAGATGTCTCCTGGCACTCTTTGGTACATGAAACATGGTATGGTGACGCGGTCTCCGAAGTCCAGCGCGCAGACCAGTCCGATAATGCCCTCGCGATTTTCGATTTCATACATTTTGCATTCAGCCATTTTACTTTGTTTGGTATACTTGATTGATGCATGTAGCTTCTTGTGACAATAACTAGCAAATTTTGAGATAATTAGGTCTGTTCCTGGCCACCCGACCCAAAGTTTGATCAGGTGAGACAGTCAAGTCTTGCCTTTCACAAGATTTATGTTGAAATTGAAAATATTTCACATTTCATCACGAGAAAAATTGGCAAGAGTTTTGGGTAGACGAAAGTCTGTTGTGCAGACGAGAGACGCATCTAAATACCCATAGGTACAAATTTGTTCAGCTTGGCACCGATCCTTGTTAGCTAGGACATGCTAGCACAACTCAATTTGCATGCCACTCCAAGATATGAGATCATTCAGGCACCTGGGCAACCCAAATAAGTATCACGACTCAGCTAATGGCCTCAACAGGCTTTCAAAGTCGACTTCAGCAAAAAGAGAAAAAAAAACAATGGTTGTTCAACTAAGTCGCATGGAGTACAAAAGGCACAAACATAACTTGCTAATGACATCCATCATAAACACCTCTTCTTATATTAGCAAAAAGGAAGCAGTGTCATTTCTCTCCATGATCGCTATCAGGTTCAGTCAAGCTGTACTTTCTCCAGTTCACCAATCATTTCCTCGAACTGCCGCAAAGGGGAAACAGGTCAGATTCGACAGCAGCAACAAAGAAAATATTGAAAAGGGAATGGTCTCCTACATGAGGTAATCTGACAGAAACTGGGATGTGTGAATACCTTCAAAATTTGTCTCAAAAGATAATCACCATGACGCTTGGTAGGTTTGGACTCCACAACATGAATAACATCCTGCATATTGCACATCATATATGTATGTAAAGTCTAGTGAGTAGCAAGTATTACAAAACCAGAGCAAGAACAAGCTGCAGGCATAACAAAGTGGCAATTAATCCCAAATACTACAATATAAATATAAACAGCAAAAAAGGCTAAAACCCTGAAGAGAAAATACTCCCACATATTAACAGAGGTTTTCTAACTGCATACAGAAAAGTGATGTGAGCAGAGGATAAGCAAGCAGCATTACCTCAACAATGTAGAAGTCAAAGTCTGCACTCGATACTATCTTTCCGTCACTGTCAACTGCATGCATTTTGTGCTTGTATGTCATCAGGATTGACCTGTCCAAGTATTTGAGCTAATTTATCATACACAAAACCAGCAAAGGAATCAGCAACAGAAGTGTAAATTACATTGTACATACCTTAGGGTTGCTTCATCCATTTCCATATATTGGGCAAGTTTGCTAATGGTTATTGTTGAATATAGCTTCAGATAACTCCGGATCCCAGAAAGCAACTGCTGCTGCTTTACTTCATAGAGAAACAACTTCAACTGAAGACGGTATGCATCCTGTTGCAGGAACCAAAGCTTTTAGAACCTTGGGGTAGGCTAGAGCCTAGAGATGAAGGAAAGAATATAAAAGCAGTAATAGTATTAAAGTAGTAAAAAGCAATAGTTAACGGGCATAGATACATCATCCTGTAAAATAAGAGTACAATAATATAACAATTGTAGTAGGCCATGAGCTAAAGTAAATTTACTGTCTGGCAATGAACCAGAAAGACACTATAAAACAAAAATAAACTGATGAGGCTAATGTACAGCAACATTATGAGGCAAAATTACCTGGTTATAGTTTGTTAGCGGCTGGTCCAGAACTGGAGGTGATGGTGTAATGAACTTGGGGCAAGCATACGAAAATAGCTCATCATAAGCAGCGTATGCTTCATCATCATACCTCTGCATCTTTGTCATCTTGTCATTATACTTTTCTTTCAGCTGGGTGCTAACATTTTCATCAACGAGCTTGTTCTGTGGGCACAAAGATAGGCAAATTGCCAACAATGCATACATCTGCTCATTTTTCTTCAGTATCTGATCATACTGAGGGGGACTTCTGATGGTACTGCTTGTACTTGAGGATATACAGAAGAATCTTGTTGAATTCACGAGTGGCCTCAACATACCTAGATTTATCCCCACAAAAAAAACATTGAATATATGAGGAAACAGAATTAACATATTGGGTAATTCCATGGCAGATTAGATCTAAAACAAGTGCAGATGCCGGATTCCATCCCAAGAAAGCGTGTATAAATCTTACGGGCAATTAAATTTACTGGTTCAAATGTCTAGCTGCCTTGCCTAGATGGACGAATGTAAATATGGTCATAAATAAAGCATTTAGCGTTGCTTAGGTAGCAAGGCAGATGAACTAAAATAGCTGATGATGTTATCGCTCTGAGTACCAGAATGTAATATAAACCTTCAAAGTGTTGCAACCTTATGATGCGCAACACAAATCCCCTTAAATTAGTCAACTAAGCTATATGTGTCAAATCTCAATGCATTAGGTTCCAACATCCGTAGTCCAAGCATAGTGATCAGAAAAGTAGGCATGCCACACCTGCGCATCATAAGGTTGGCGAAGCCATAGTGGTAGATGGTGGAGATGTGGCTCCCGATGACAATGGTGTAGACCCCTTGCTGGTTGAGGTCAATGGGCGCGAGGCACTTGAGGCCAGTGTGGTAATCCCCGAGGAGGCAGTGTATCCTGAGGAGGCCAATCATGCTGTAGTAGCCGAGCACCTTGAGCACGTTGCTGCCGCCCTCGTAGTCGTAGCCATCGGTGGCGGTGAACTGCTCCAGGCCCTCCTTCTCCCTCTCGAGGATCTGCGCGATCATGGACTTCTCGACCAGCGCCTGCAGGTAGTTGAGGACCCCGTAGACGTTCCAGGCCTGCACGTACATTTGATTGGGGGAGAGCAGTCATTCACTGACACTTCTTGGGACTTTGTTGGGGGCAAGCAACTGGCAAAACCGGCAAGAAAAAGAAACATAGTAATAATTTCGAAGTAGTAGCAACCTTGTCGAACTGCTTGAGCTGGTTGAGCTCGTCTTCCGTCTTGGTCTTGAGCTTGGCGCGGTACTGGCAGAAGCTCTGGAACTGGTAGACGAACTCGTCGACCATGTCCCAGAGCCACTGGTTGGGCAGCTGCATGTTGACGACGCCGTGGAGGACGACGCTGAAGAGATCGCAGTAGTTGGTCCAGGACTCGGCGCGGTGCGCGGCCGTGAGCGGGGAGAGGCGGGCGTGGGCGTGGCGGTACCAGAGCTCGCGGTAGAGGAGGAGGAAGACGTGGTCGCCGTCGCAGTAGGGGGCGACGGCCTCCGCGGAGGGCCAGGGCGCGTCGCGGAAGAGGCGGTCGGAGAGGCGCTGGAAGCCGCCCTCGTACATCTGGTGGATCTCGTACACGTTCTTGTCCCGGATATGGCGGTACAGGTGCACCACGAAGGTCTTGACGGAGTCCGGCACGTAGTTGGGGTCGTACGCGTCGGCCGCCGCGTGCGGCGGCGCCGACGGCGGCAGGCCGTCCTCGCGGTCGTAGGGGGCGGCCGCCATGGTTGGGTGGGGGCACTGGGGAGGCGAGGGGAGGGGGTTAGGGTTCGGGGTGCGGCGGCGCGGGATGGGACGCAGGAGGACGAGATGGGGGTTTTGCGGGCTGCTTGCTACGTGGGCCCTGGGGTGAGGAGGCGGAGTGGGCCGTGATGAGGCTTGCAGGCATGTCTTTTGGCGGGTTGGGCCGGCCCGAGTGGCGGTTCCCGTTGCGTTTTGGTGGGCTGGGTTTGGGTTGGCGCGAGGGAAGTGAGGGCCGGGCGGCTGCCGGGTCGCCGTCGCGTCGTCGTCCCTCCCACGAGCACCGGCGTCCGGTTCAGATTCGGTGACACGCACGGGCACGGACGAAAACCCCACTGGAAAGAGAGGATTCCTCCGCCGCGTCCGCGTTGGACTGGACAGCTCACGCACGCCGCTGCTTTCGCAGCCAGCCAGATCCATCGGTTCCAACGGAACATTCCATCCACGCCCGCCACCGCGCACCGGCATTCCTATCTCCGATCCGCTGCAGCCCGCAGGCACGTTCTCCATCCCTCCGGCCGCCCGGCGTGCGGCGGCCAGCGTCAGCGAGCGGGCCACTGTGTGTGGGTGCAGCTACCTAATTTTCGCTGCACAAAACCAGGGAGGGCGGGGGCAGAAAAGGAAGGGAAAAAAAGGAAGAGGCAGAGGTGCGCGGCCGACCTGCGTGGTGCGGGTGGTTTCGAGCACGGGCGAGCGCTCGCTGCCGATCCCAATCGGCCAGCAGGGGCCACCCCGCCCTCCGGCCGTTCTCCCCGCCCGCCGGCACCCCACCCGCCATGGCGGGCTCCATGGTGGACCGCGCCACCAGCGACCATCTCATCGGCCCGGACTGGGCTAAGAACATGGAGATCTGCGACATCTGCAACCGCGACCCCGGGTACGGACCCCCTCTCCCCCTGCCCCGATCCCTCCCAGATTCGGGCTGCTCCGCCACCGGATTCCCTACCCCCTCCCGCGAGGTTCCATGCTTACCGCCGACAGAGGTCGTCTCGTCTCGATAGCTCCTGCGATCAAATGTGGTTTTGTGCCGTGGAGCCGTGTGATTCCCGACGCGCTCGCCCTTCTCGGAGTTAGGTTCCAGCTAGAGGCGCTCTAGGCTGCTGGAATTCGGAACCATCCGCCACGGGTGTCTCTGCCAGGATCATCATTTCTGACTCTGCAATTTATCTGCCTTGCTCCGTTTGCATTCTCATGTCTTTTAAGCGAAAAAAAAAAGTGTCAGTAGTCTCCGATCGTACAATAGAGGGGGCTTCATTCGCTCATCATTGTTCAATCATAATTGGGCAATCCCTGGTTTGGCCATCCAGTGCTCCATGCTCCATTTGTTGATTAGGTCATAATTGGGCAATCCCTGGTTTGGCCAGTACAGGGTGCTGTAACCTTATTTTCCAGATCAATCACAGCTTGCTGCATGTATGAGGGAAAATATCCACAAATGATTTTACAAATGGCCAAAAAATTTCAGCAGTGAGCTAGACCAGTGGGGATACGGGGAAGATAGTGTAAACTGTCTCCATATTTTCAATCCAAATGTTTTGATTCAACTTATGACAATACATTTGAGCTTCTGATTCTGCTGGCAATTGGTTCAAACTAATGAATGCACTTTGATTTTAATTTGATTCATGGCCGAGAATTGGGATTGAATATCAAACATTCTACTGGACTCAAATGATATAGCTTGCACTAGGTTCCTCATGTTCATTTCGTTTCCCCTGAACAGAAGCCCATTTAATTTGCTTTGCTATGCTGTCGTTTGGTTATCAGTTATTGATTGTCCACATCCATGCTTGTAACAGGCAATCGAAAGATGTTGTCAAGGCACTGAAGAAACGGATTGGCCACAAGAATCCAAAAGTTCAACTTCTTGCACTAACTGTAAGTCTATCTGCGACTTGTCATTTACTTTTATGTCTTAAAGTGTGGTAGGCTATTGGTAACTGTCGAAGATTTTGTTGTTGTTTTGTATCGTACTTCCACAAAATCGAACACCTGATCCTCTAGTACTGGTAACTGTCGAATATTTTTTTTGTCCTTTTGTATCCTGCTTCCACAAATCAAAAACACCTGATCCTCTGCTAAGTTATGTGTTGCATTTTTCTTCTATGTTCAGCCATGTTCCAATTTATTTATTTATGTCCCCGTCGTTTTTCTTATGTTTCATTGCGTATGCAATTACTCATGCAATCATACCCATGCATCCTGTGATGCTATCAGCATAACTGAGCATAGTGGAGATCTTGCTGGCTGGTTTTTACTATTTAGTCTATTCTTCAGACTCTGATAATGTTAACTTTCACATTTTGTTTCCTTGTTAAAACCACCTAAGAAACACTAACACCCTATAAATTTTGAATTGTCGAAGCTCAATACCTCTGTTATCTTTTTTTATGTTTGTAGAGGTCCAGGATATGTATGAGGCACTGAACGTGTAGCGAATAATTTTTTTATGATGATTTTTTAATATTTAGCTATTACAAAAATATAAGCATTGTCTTGCTGATGATATCTCTCTATTTCAGCTGTTGGAAACTGCTATAAAAAACTGTGGGGATATACTTCACATGCATGTCGCAGAGAGAGATATATTGCATGAGATGGTGAAGATAGTGAAGAAAAAGGTTCAATATGCTTCATGCTTGCAAAACTGTAGTTCATTATTCTAATGAACTGCTGGCTTCTGATGGCGTTTTGTTTTCATGTTACAGTCTGATCCTCGTGTTAAAGAGAAGGTATTGGTGCTGATAGATACATGGCAAGAAGCATTTGGGGGGACCACGTGCAAGATATCCACAATACTATGCAGCATACCATGAGTTGGTGGTATAATTTTGAAGCTCGACTCAGTTTATTGCTTCAACATTTTCAATTAACTCATTTGGTTTGTGGTGTATTTGACAAGATTATGATCTTATATTTCTGCCCGGCAGCGTGCTGGAGCTGAATTCCCCAAGAGACTCGAGAAACCTGCACCTTTGTTTAATGGTCAGTCTCAAGCAGCAAGGAATATCGTAGTCCTGACCAACAGGATGAAGCAGAATCTTCTGCTGCCAATGATTTTCCTGCTTTGAGGTGCGCTTTTTTACATTTTTCATTTTCTGTGTCGATGTCTTTTTCTATCTGTTCTCTTCAATTAAATAGCCTAGCATTTAATTCTTTCACTACTGTCTCTTACTATCATATCATATAATCTATGAAACAGTAGAATACTGTGTGCAATGATTGTGATATTTCTAGTTTTAGATTGTGGTCTGGTTTCATGTTATGAGGTGGTGTGAAGTTAAATGGAACGATAGAAAATTGTTTGCTATATTGTCATGTTTTCTAGTTTCTGCTTGTTATTTGATGATTTATCATTGACTTGCTTCATGCGCTCAAGATAGCATGAGCATTCATGTAAAAAAAAAACTCAAGCTGTTAGCGGTAGTAGATTCAAGAACAGAGGGTACTATTCTCTCAAAGATATCCATATGATTGTTCATATTCTGACGTTAAGACATTATAGCTAGTTTTTTTATCCTTGGATAGTCTGTTACTCTGTTTATTGGATAGAGGGCTAGTCGGCACGTTGAGAAGAGATACAGTTGTGTGTATGCCACTGGCTATTGAGTTTAGGCTATCATGCGAGCAAAGCAGCAAATGCCCAATAGCACATACAAATTTCCCTTGAGAATAATTCATCTGGGTTGTTTTCATGACTGTGTTTATACTGAATGAATGCCTATATTTTCAGCATGTCGGAGATTCAGAATGCTCGTGGTATTATGGATGTACTTGCTGAGATGCTGAATGCTTTAGACCCTGGAAACAGAGAGGTACCAAAGTAGCAAACATTGACCTCTTTCCTGTATAAATTTTGAAGCTTCAACCAGCAGTGAAGCATTCCATTCTTATGGGTTTATGTACATAAAAAGAATCTTCCATTTTGTTTTGTTTTGAGAAATTTGTGCCAGCTGCTGACCAGTTTTAGTTTTAGAAATGACCTTGTAATTTTTTTACAGTTTGCCAACTATGGAGCATCTTTATCCATTAAATGTTATGTACCAGATCCTACCTTACCTTGTACTGGGTTATAGTGTGTATATAGTACTAAGGGCTGATACTGATGCACACAGATAATTTTTAGCATGCCTACCTGCAATTTTATGTCTATGAACATTCTTATGTGGTTGAATTTACGTGCTGGACACTCCCGTGTGATTTCTAATTTACTTGGTTTACTCCCAGTATTTATGTCATACTCAAGCAATAGTGCCCTACTATATTCCTAATAAGTCATAATCTCCTCTTAATTTGTGAAGGTTTATTGATTATGTTTTTTTTTACGTGCTATGCACATAGGGACTAAGGCAGGAGGTAATTGTTGAACTCGTGGATCAATGCCGCACTTACAAGCAGAGAGTTGTGCAGCTAGTTAATTCTACCACGTGAGTGTGCTTTTTCTGAACTTCATTTTAATACTTGAAGTTCTCTTAGTGCAATATATCTTATGGTAGTGAATGGATATGCTTCTAAAATCGGCACAGATGACCTCCATAGTTTGTTTTGTCAGTTCTTTTGGCCCAATGAGCAATAGCAGTGAGATGCAGATATCAGTGATGCGAGGACAACCAGGCAATAGCTGTGCTCATAGTATAATGTTGCTTGCTACATTCTGCAGGGATGAGGAACTTATGTCGCAGGGGCTTGCACTGAATGATGATTTACAGCGTGTTCTAGCAAAACATGATGCAATAGCAGCAGGTATTGCAGTTCGAGTGGAGAAAAAACCAAAGTCTTTGCAAGCACTTGTAGAGACCGAGGATTCGGCAAACCAGGACTCTAAAAAGGAGCAGGGACTCATAGATATTGAGGAACCCACAAGCCAAGATGCTGCAAAAGAACCAAATCAAAGGTTTGCTTCCCTCACTGTTCATATGCTTAATTCTCATAACGTCTAGAATTATGTTAATACATGCATGTATGGTTTTGTTCGTACATGCTGGAACAAGTTCAAAAGTAGCGTTTGATGATCATTTTGGGTTCAGCAAGTAATAGTGTAATATGCCAACCTTCACAGCTAGGCAGTCCACAAGATTTTGTTCATATATGCTATATAGAAATAGCCATACTTGTAATTTACTGTTCTTTCTATTTAATTGTTTTTCCACATGACTTCTCTAATTACCCTCTTTTATGCATGTTATCTGTCTTCTAACAGTACAAGTGACCAATCTCCTTTTGAGCAATTAGCTCTTCCAGCACCACCAGTGTCAAATGGCGCAGCAACCTCAGCACCAAAATCTGATCTTGGCATTGATCTTCTGAGCTGGGATGATACCCCTGCCCCTGCTACAGCACAAAATTCACTTGCTCTTGTTCCTGTCACAGATCCTCTTGCTGACTCTACTTCATCAAATCAAAATGTGCTAGCAATTGTCGACACATTTTCACAAAACAGCACCGCCAACAGCAACGCTCAACCAGCTGACCCCTTTGGTCTCAGTCCAAGTTCTGTTATTCCAGGATCGCAGCCTTACAACACTCCAACTCAGCAGCCTTTCCAGTCGCAACAGCCTCCGCAGCAGGCGTCCTCTATCCAAATGGGGTGCTGTGAACCCTGGAACGCGATCTTACGATCAGGCATCCCAGTTTAACAACGTTAGTTCTGGGTGGAATGGTCAAGCTGCCAGCCAGCGGCGCCCCCACCAGAGCAAACACTGAATTACGGTATGGCAAGAATTCTCATCTCTACTTTGCTGTTATATCTTTCTGAAGTACTGCTTAATTATTAATGATTTTTAAATGTGCACTCTTCTGTATCATTTCTGTCTTTCAACCAGAACTCTCTGTATTCATATGAATCTTCTTTTTCTGTCCGGAGAAAATGTGATGATAGTATCCAAACTTTGTAGATGATCAAAGTGGAAACCTTCCGCCACCTCCTTGGGAGGCTCAGCCAGCGGCGAGCAATGAAGTGCCAAATGGCCATTTGGGAGGCATGCAACCTCTCCCAGGGCCAGGCCAGATCGGCGGCATGCAGCAGCCACTGCAACCACAAGTTAACCACATGGGAGTTCCACAAAGCCAGCCAATGTACAGTAACCAACCAGGAGTCGGGCTGCCTCAACAAGGGATGCAACCCAGTCAAGTTGCCGCAACACAGATGCAGCCAGGCTTCGGAAACCAGCAGTTCGGTTCGCTACCACCGACATTCATGATGGGCATGCAGTTCGGTGGCATGCAGCCTCCACAAATGTATGGCGGATCGCAGCCAGTCATGATGTACCCGCAACAAATGCCAGTCGTGCAGTACGGAGCAATGCCGCAGCAGCAGCCGATGTATGGTGGTCGGTTGGCAGGGTACATGCAGCATCCTTCTGTGGCTGCTGCACACTACTATAACAACCAGGGGACGGCAGGAATGTATGGGTACCCTGGCACGAATGGACTGTCTCAGAGCATGTATGGACTCTCGGTGCAGGACAACTCGTCCATGGGGATGAGCTCGTCGTACCAGACTACGACGGCGCCAACCTCCACGGGGCAACCAATGAAGCCAACGAAGCCCGGAGACAAGCTTTTCGGTGACCTCCTGAGCATTGCCAAGACGAAGAAAGCATCATGAGACGAGCAGGAGCAGGAGCAGGAGTGGGAGCGTCGGCTTGGGCCTTCTGATATATTGTCTCCCCTATTTTTGTGATTTTTCATGTTGTTTGATCTTACACTTGTAACATTATCAGAATGTATAAGCTTTTTGGGGTCTTTTTTTTTTATTCCCACGCTGTGATCCTATTGATCCCATTGGATTCGTTATACCGTGTGCGTGTACTGATCACGTGCAAGAGGAAACGTTGGCCGTAAATGATGATTCAATAAAGGGTGTGCAGTACGTACTTGCGATATTGTTCTTTTAGGGAATGTGTTACCTTTCTTTCTGAAAAAGAAAGAAGTGTAGATATAGTGAAGCATGGTGTATTCACCATTTATAAACTGCTATGTTTTTTTTTTTAGAATTTTAGGGCCAAGCCCTATTCTTTTAACCATTGCCAAAAGACGGTTTGACGTTTGCGGCACAGAGGATGGTAAACCATATGAAAACATTCAGCGTATCATGGCCAAAGGAACCTATCCAAAATCGGTAACGGTAATTCTGGATCAGGGCGCCTGATCCAATAGGAATCTGTCGGATGCCGCCGTTGGTGGGCCGTGACGCCGGCCGAACAGTCCAACGGACTCGCACCGCGTTGCTAAAAAAAAATACAGAAGACTCTGCTCTCATTTTCCCATTCCTCGGGTTTCCCCGCAGCGCCCGCACCCATTCTGCTGCGCTCCCCGCACCGTTGCGGCGTGATGCATCGCGGCCGCACCGTCGCGCCGGCACTGTCGCGCCATGCTCCACCACGGCTCTCTCCCCGCGCCTGGCCGACCGCCATCCTTCCTCACCACCATGCCTGAGCGCGGCCGCCCACCTTCGTCGCTCTTCACCGTGCCTCCGCCCCGTCACGGCCTTCTACACCTGCCTCTGTTGGTGCTGGTGCTGCCGTCTCGTGCGCCCAGCCTGCGCCGCTCGCTTCTCTCTCCTGCACATCATGCGCGCCCACCTCTGCTGGTCAGCCCGCTCCCTCCCGCGTGCGTCGGGCTGGTGGTGCTCGCTAGGGATGAAAACGGTCGGAAAACCCCTCAACCGTTTTCTATTTCTACATTTGAATACGAAAATAAAAAGCGAAAGTGGTAAAGCTGGACACAAAAATGAACACGAACTTACGGAATACCAAGAGTTTCGAAAACGAACTAATTCGAGTGGAATTATGCCGAACACGTTTTTTATACGAAAAATCAATACTGAATATTGACCCGTAGGACCAAGTGCATAACAATTAACAAGTGTATGACCAAGTGTATAACAATTAACAAGTCCTACAACTTTTATATAAAAAGTATCTCCATTTGACACCGTATAAGAAAGATATGATTTTTATAAGGCAACATACGCTTGTACGCGATTAATATAATGATGAAACTTTGTTTAATTTTTTTAAATATTTTAATGAATTCAAATGAAAAAACTAAAAACTAGAAAGTTGTAGATCTCGTCGAGAGCTATAATTTTTATATAAAAATCATCTTCATCCGAGATCGTATGAAAAAAAATACAATTTTTCTAAAGCTGAACTTCTAGTGGGCCAAATTCGGTTTAAACTGAATTTCGAATTTGGGATATTCCGAATTAAAAGTAGAAAACGGTCGAAAAACGTCTAAACCATTTATGCTCTGATTTCGAATATGGTGTTCCGTACTTCGAACCAAATTCGAATTTGTCTGAAAATACGAATTTGGTGCTCCCACGGTCCCACCCCTAGGCCGGAATCGACTAGCCGCGCCCCCTCCGCCTATGTTGCAAATGTATATTTTAAGTGTTTCAGATATTTCAGAGGTACGTTGCAAGTGTTTTATATGGATGTTACAAAAGTAGCTTGGGATGTTGCATATGTTGTAAGTGTTTTAGAGGCATGTTGCAAGTGTTTCAAAGGCAAGTTGCAAGCGTTTGTTCAAAAATTTTCATCTATTTCAGACATATGTTGCAAGCGTTTCGATCTGGATATTGCATATGTTTCACACGTATATGTCGCAAGAGTACGTTCAAAATGTCTAAGCCATTTCAGTCTTATGTTGCAATAAGTGTTTTCAAGTTGCAAGTTGCAAGTATTTTATTTTGACGTTGTATATGTTTCACACGCATTTCAAGTGCATGTTCCAAATGTTTTATCTGCTTTATGTAGCTGACGTCAACATTGCACTGGGCTTGTGTGTGCATGGGCGTGCAAGGAGCAAATTGGTGCGTGTGTAAGTGGGCTCTCTGCTCTAGGCTAGTGATGAGCAAATTGGTACATGTGTTCTACGGTCCATGAAGGGGCTGAGGTGGGGCAGATTATAAGCCTAGTTTTGTTTGCACTGGCCCCGCCCCTGGTTTGGATGGCATCCGAAGATTGCCACCCACAGGTTCGGCGCCACACACTCGTTTAGCCAACTAGATTTGGCTGCCACACCTCGCTTATTAGTTTTCTTCATATTATATTTTGCTACCACAACTAGCCAAAATCTGGTGGACGTTTCATCTGCCAACATTACAGCGCAGTCGCACTTGCGGCTTGCTTCCTTTTCCTTGGAAGCAAAGCAAACATGCCCTTAATTACTACATAGGGGCAAGTCATTCTTATAAAGAGGTCCATTAGCAACTCTTACATATAAACTTGTTAACTTTGGTATCCAAATCTTCATAAGGAAAGAAATTTGGTGGCCTTTGTCTTGCTCATTCCTAGCCCATTTTCATTTGTGTCTAATCCATTTTTTAACTTATGTATAATACACTCTTTTCCAGTGGCTGGATATAAATCATGCTAAGAAGATAAACTCATTTATCTTTTCCCTAGACTAAGGCTGGATAACGAGCTGGCTCGGCTCGTTTGGGCTCGGCTCGTTCTGGCTCGTTAAGATAACGAGCTAGCTTGGCTCGGCTCGTTATCCTAACGAGCCAGAAAGTCAGCTCGGCTCGGCTCGTTAAAAGCTCGAGCTGGCTCGTTAAGCTCGCGATCCAGGTATAAAAAATACACAAAATATAATATTTGCATTTATCTAAAGTTTGAGAATAATAATAATACAAAAGAAATACATCTAGACCAGTTACCAGTCAATTTATAGGGTCTAGACCAGTTACCAGTCAATTATAAAGTGCAAGACATGAAGTAATACAAAAACTAATACAAGTTTTGATACTTTTTTTTCCTGAAAGCTTGGCTCGTTTAGCTCGCGAGCGGCTCGCGAGCTGGCTCGAGTTGGCTCGTTATAGCTAACGAGCTAAAATCTTGGCTCGGCTCGGCTCGTTATCATAACGAGCCGAGCCGAGTCGAGCCAGCCACGAGCCGAGCGAGCTAACGAGCTTCGAGTTTTTCGTCCAGCCTTACCCTAGACCTTCCCTATTCTCTTCCTTGCTTTTTTCTGATACATACTTGGTTTGAATCCATGATTTTGTTGTCTTTAAGTGAATTCATACAATACTTGCTTGCTAGCTATATTAAAATAATAAACAAATCGTGAAGATTTCGTGACATATTTGGATTTTTTATACAATTGTTTTTTTTGTCTCACACATCTTTATGAGTTGCCTTTAATTGCCCTTAAAAAAAGGCAACCATTGTACCAACTTATATGATCACATGACACTAAAACTCACGCCTTTCACCTCTCCACCACCAAAATTCTAGCTCGATTGGAGTTACCATCGTAACACCTACCCCTGCCATCTCACCATGATTTGGGATTCGCCGGTCATGATGCCTCTTGCCATGGAACATCAAGGATGTAGCAGCATGATTGTTGTCCTTTTGTTCGCTTGCTCTCCTTTCTCCCCTTTTTCCTCGATGTTTTAGCCAACTAGATTTGGCGGCCTTCAACGTTGCTCATGGCCTATCGCTTTGTTTGTCAACTTCCTAAGAGTGAGTGCTTTTATTGTAGATCCATTTTATGGCACTCGACTCCTTCTTTGTTCCATAGCTAAAGTGGTGGTTTGGCAGGTTCATACCAAACCATGGACAGGCACAGCATAGATTCGTTCTTTCCTGGAAAATGTTAATGGACACATACCCAAAGGAATACAATAAATTTGAAATACGGGTTGTCGTCAATAATTTGTGTGATTTTCATCTATGCTAATGAAAAGGTGGTTTTTGAATTACTTTAGCACAAATTTTGTTTATCATGTTCTTATTGCAATTTTCATGTGTTTGCTACATTCTAGCATGGTTCAAGGAAAAGATAACTTACAACAAAAGACAAAGTGAATGAATTTTGATACTCACAGTTCTTCCTTCTATGAAGTATGAGCTGTGTCTTCTTTGCACAAAGTTATTGGAGTTCATCCGTTGCCTTGATTCATCTTTGATGTGAATTTATCTCTTGACTTACCTAGGTTGATTTTGAGAGTTTACTGCAGGGGTTAGTCCAATAAAAATAACCAGTGTCTATACAAACAATTTTTAGTTCAATAACCAGGCTAGACTCCATGTCTAATTTTGATTAAGGAAGTCATTTTAACCTAAGCACCATGCTTAATTTAAAAAGCCAATGAAAGTATGTATAGTACTTCCAAACCAAAGCATACTATGGCAGACAAAAGTAGCATGAAAGTATTTTAGAGATTTACTCAAATAGAGATGAAAGAGCATGATAATGGTGAGTGATTTTTTAAGATAAAGAATACAAGTGGCTTGGATATATGCATGGAACTAAACATATTGTGGATTTGATATGAGAGAATTCAAACTAAACGGAATGGATGCATGGATTATTCCAAGTAAACATGCAGTGGAATGCAAAAAGTTAAAAGATAACTACTCATTAAGTTTAAAGTCCATGAGCAAGACTATCTCACCTTTCTTGATCATGCTTACCACGACTCACATGGAATTTGTGAGTAGTGCAGCATCTATTTCCATCACTTGAGATGTGATTTGAATTCTTGTGACGTCGACCTTTTTCTCCACTCTACACATGATTAGAGAATATATATGTCTATACAAACCTGTGAGATGGCAGGGATCCAATGATGATGGATATTAAATGTTCAGG